CTTTAAGGAAAGAGTACATCTTGGGCATGAGCTCCACAAACTCGTCCTTCATTTTCCTAGCATTTTCTTGTTGGCTGTGCTGAACAACAGATGGTCTTTGGGGTAGTTGTTGGTGTCGTACTGACCGGCGTTGCGTCTCATGTCGGCGTACACGTCCTCAGTCAGTCTGTATCTCCAGCACAAGGCAGTTGGTGTCGGTGTAGAGGAACTCTGCTGACGAACCGTACTGCACCTCGAGATGGTATTAGTACCAGTCGTACGTCAGATGCTTCGAGACGTCGAGAACGCTCGTGGCCACAAAGACCGGCCAGTTGAGCAGCGGACTGCTTTTATTCATGTGAACGGCTGCGAGGTCTCCCGCGTGGTCAAATATGAGATGCCGATTAAATGCCAGCTTGGCAATAGGTTTGCGGAGTCTCTCGGTCTCGCTTGGCTGGAGCAGCTTCACATTGACACGCTTTCGGAGGTTTTCCATCGTCTTGCCAAAGACGCTGTTGTTCAGCAGCTTGTAGAGGTTGACTTCAAAGTCACTCTTTGCCTTCTTCAGGAGTTCGGTGTTTTTCCGGATGTAGGGCTCCATCCATGGGTTTTGATCGAAGCGGATTTTGCCATGTGGATCTTTTCAGGCGCATGCCAAGCTGCAGATAGAGCTGCAGATTTCGATAGTGAAGGATGTATTGGGTCTTGTCGCGCAGATGGGGGACAAGCTTATTGACCTCGTGACACGCACCACCATACATCTGTTAGAGATTTGAGATTTTGCTTGTAATCCGACATCCACGCGTTGTCGACCTTCATGCGTTCTGACGCTAACGGATATGCATTGTGCTAAAAATCTCTTCTGGTTACTCCAGATCGACTTCGAGAATGTAGTCCTTCTCTGCATGTACATGCTGGTTCAAGGCCGCCTTCGTATCCTCTTGAGCGACTCAATAGAACATGCCTGTCGGCAGAGGCTGCGATATCACCCAGCCCTACAGGTTGTTGGCGTCGCAGTACTGGATCCAGCTTTAGGGCTTCCCCGGATCGTAGTCTGGCACTTTGGGATTGTTGGCCTTGGCAAGGCGTCTGCTGTCCATACTGATGCCGCCGTGCAGGCCCTTGTGATGTCGATGTTGGTGAGCAGCTCGATTTCAACCCCTGTGTGGTTAAGAAGAGCGTCCCAGCTTAGGCCTGGGCTCGTGTAATAGTGGGCGGGTCTAGCCGGTATCGCTCGAGGCACATCTTTCGGAAGTTCTCGAATACGTCAGCAAGGAGGAGGACATCGGTCCGAAGGTAGAGGTCGTGGTAGTCGCCGAGGCTACAGCCGAAGACGTACCAGACCATTTTCCTGAATCATAGTCGTCATCGGTAATGCCATCTTCGGCGAGTTTGCTGTAGAAAGCCTCCTTCGGCTGGAGGATTCTTCATCAAATCTGGACCAGCCGCCCATATACTCGTAGGGTAAATCACCTTGCGGAGCAGGAGTACGCCTCTTGGGGTTGGGCTCAAAGTCTTCTGTGATGCACATGTCTCGCGGATCGCTTGCTTTCACCAGTCCATCCAGGCTTGAGAGCACGAACGGGGCGCTGTCGACAAATCGGAGCTGGCTGATACTGAACGAGATGTAATTCTCGGCGTTCTTAGGGATGCAGGTGACCTTCCCTTTAATCTCTGCGAGAGTCTGCATGTTGAGATGGCTGTCGTAGCCCAGCAGGCTGTGAAAAACAACCGGTATGGTTTTCGTTTTCGGGCTGAGCCGCAACTTCAGGTTGCACTCATTGTGGCAGTGGTCTCGCATGGAATCGCCTTCGAGGGTTTTGCTGGACACGTGGCAATTTCTGACTTTCTTGTGGCTCCCCCAGTCATTTCCTATCATGTGCATAGGCTCGGGGCTAGCTAACATCGTCTGATCTTACGCTCTTCTTCTTGGAGCACTTCCAGGAAATGCTTGGCCGCGTCGGGCTCTCAGAGCTGCGGCGGCTGCGTTTCTGTCGGAACGAACGACTATGTACGAGTAGCCGCATGCCTCGTGCCTGGAGGTTTGCTGGGTACCGTTCTTTTTAGGGTGAAGCGCGTGGCCCTTGGTCTTACGAACCAGGCTCTCGAAGTCTGCGCAGATTATGAAGGGCGCTTTGAGCTGCTTGTGGTAGTTCTCAAAGCGGATTTTGTCGTTTTTTTTAGGGGTTGGCATTCTGATGGCAACCGCGGCCTGGTTGATGCCTCGACATTCAGGCTTACGCTCTTCCAGCCAATCCTGTCTGGTGAAGCCATGAAGGCAACCCTCACAGAAGTGCAGCTGATGATGGCCACTTTGGTTGAGAAGGCGGTTGAAATCCTTGATCCAAGTGTAGTGGTGTTTCTCGGGGTTTTTCGAATCCGAGACGGGGAAGGGATTCACAGTCTTGCGAGCTCTCTCTTCTTTGCTCAGACGGCAAGGAATGACGCCGCCTTTCCAACCGTACACGTTGATAGCAAGGTCGTTCTGACGCTCTACTCGTTCAAGCTGGGAAAGCGGTGCGGGTGCGCTCACTCCCGCAAAGTCAAGGACATCTTCAGTGGGATACTTGCCACGCTGTTGCGGATCTTTAGCTGCAGGAAACATAGCAGCCCTTAAAGAACAGTGGAGGCAGTCGTCGTCATTGTTTTTCACGTTGACGCTCGTGTTCTTATTCTTGACCGGGAACTGGAAGTTTTCCAATCCCTCCAGGATTGGTGGGAAGGCTTCATGTAGGGCATGCAGAATCTCATGCTCCTTTAGCAGCGTGATCTGCTTTGTCAGGAACAGTGGTGCTTGAAACACTTCAGTACCATTTCCTTTATCCTTCACAACCTCTAAAGCCAACTGGAACTTAACTCTTCGTGGAACTAATAGCTCCTGGACGAGTTTACGTTTGATGTAGGGTTGGGCGCTTTTGAGGAAAGCCATCAAATTGCGTTGGGAGGGGTGTCCCTTCGGCACTTGCATTTTCCAGGCTCGCAGATTATAGCTGAAGGCCTTCGTTTCATTCCACTTAAGTTCCGTGCGTGGTGGGGGAAGAACCCTTGTGGGGCGTTTAATTCCAGCCAGAAGTTCGTCAATGTATGCGTCCATCTCATCATCGGTAGGCTCGGCGGGCCTGCGCTTGCGTGGTTTGTTGATAGGCCTGCGCTTGCGTGGTTTTGGGATAGGCCTGCGCTTTTGCGGTTTGGAGATAGGCGGAGTGACATTTCTTGGCGTGGGTGTTGGGTCAGCGGGCGGTTGAAGAGCTTTAAGATACAGGCATTCAGCGCGTGCCTGTCTTGGTCATGTAGTTGCAAAATTTATTAACAGTATCTATCGCGACTGTCGCAAATTTTAGTGCTATATCCTATGCGAGATAATTCTCTAAATCGAAATTAAATCAAAATGTCGAAATTAATTCGGCAAGTACTCTAGCAAATATCTTCTTGCTTGTTTCTGTTTATAAACGAGCTTATGATGCACCCTATCCGCACCGCAGGCTTGACAAAGGATAGTTTCTGCCTGTGTTACGACCGCACGCTTACGACATGGTTGTGAAAGTCACCTGCCTTCCTTAATCGCCTCATATGAAGTCCACAGTATTCACCCATGGAGCTTCGCCCACATGTGGTGAGCTTTCCGGGTAAAAACCACGCGCACTTGTTCTTGCCCTGCCTCATGGCTGTCGAACGTTTGGATATACTCTATGAGAGTATATCTCTCTAAATAATAGACCCCGACGGCCGGAAGCGCGTGCGTGGGGGTGGGCCGGCCGTCTTTGGCTCCTGCCGTTATCCAGGGTTTAACTTTCGTTGTAGTTATGCTAGCATAATTACACTATGTGCTCGCTATATATGTCTTTCAGACATACATAGTAAATACGTACAAGAACTAGGGTTGGGGCACTTAGATTTGCATATACTAGATCCCAAGGGGTGTCCGAGGTGCGCCAGTGGCAACGCTTTCTCAAGGTGAAGTGCGCCGGCGGCAACGCTTTCTCTATATGAAGTGCGCCAGCGGCAACGGTTTGTATACTACTAACTCTCTATTTGCGCAATACAAACAACTATAAGAAAAATACAAATATCGTTTGAATATAATGCTTAACTGACTCGAGTTACAAGAAATCAAAATTCACTACAATTGAAAGAAGTGCAAGTCTTAAGGCCTGAAAAATGAGACGCTAAACTATACCAGATGATGGAGAACGTTTAGTCAGAGATACGAAGATAAATCTCTCATTCAGAGTTTCAGATAGTTTATTTAATTAGAATTTGGGGAGTTGTTCTACTTTGCATATGTTATATTTTTTGTTGTAATAAACATCCACACGAATTTTTAAAAAATTTACCGAAGGAAAAACGAAAAAGTCTTTAAGAAAGTCAGCACGACTTTCAAATATGCGCATTCAAATTTTTAAAAAATTTACCGAAGGAAAAACGAAAAAGTCTTTAAGAAAGTCAGCACGACTTTCAAATATGCGCATTCAAATTGTCAATAGTTCCCTACTTCCTAACTGTATGTAGCCTCCTTAAAATATTTGGCAGCCGGAAATAATGGAAACGAAATATAATTCCAATATTACCAAAATTAGTAAAATTCTTGTAATAAGCGATACTTATCTATAGCAAATATAAACCGATTACATAGTACTTTTAACTTGCTTTACTCTACAAACCCTATGAAATTGGCAATGCGCATAACTGTCTAAAAACCACTTTTTACTAACATAATTTAATAAAGCAAACACGCTAAATAAGCAAATGCAAACAAAAAAAGCATTTGGCAGAGTTCGTCATAAGAACAAACGGAAACAAAAAACACAATTGCAACATTATTAAAATCAGCAAATTTCCACATTCAGGAACGATTCATTAAACGAGCGATACAAGTTTACAGCAATAATAAGCCGAATTGCTAACAGTATTTCCATACTTTTCAAACGACTCAAATGTGTATCCTACTTAGACTATGTTCTCATGATTGCTAATGAACAATTCAACATCCTTAACATACCAACACATCATCACAAACATACCTTGTTTCGTTTTTGCTTAGCAAATCGTTGTTGCTGTTTGTATTTTTAACTTCTTTCAACTGATGTTCAACAATACCAGTTAATCTAAAATAAATATTATCTTATAGTATTAGGCAAGATCAAAATTTATTCAAAGCTTATTAAATGACATAATATATGGCGAACAATTACATTGTGTTGATAATTATACATCGCAAACACGCATAAGGATTCTGTGAATTTTGTTTGACAAAGCTTTTTCTGGTTCACAATCCAATATTTCGTATTTTCCGATATAACGCAAGAGCAAGTTATAAGCGTCACACATATTCTTTACGTTGATATGTGGCCAGTGGCAAAAGTATTTTGTGCCGCGGAATTTAAGTCATTTAAAGAATAGATTGTAATGCAAAGCAAAGATACTGTTTTGATTTTTATTGTTTTTTTCAATTTATATGTTTGATTTTAATTTAGAGCTTGTTGATTGATAGGTAAAAAAATGTAAAATCTAATGCATTATCATAAAGTATATGCTTACTATAGGATTATCTTTACATTCTCTGCAGTGTGTATGTGAAAAAATGAAAATGAAAATCTTTATTTTGACACGCTGGCCTTGTCAACTGGGGTTGATTTCCACAAGGGGCGTGCTTTTGTTCAAAAACAATTACAAAATTTACTAAGAAATAAATTATCTACAGAAGAGAAGTTTAAATATTTACAGAGTTTAGCTTATTCCATCAGTTACATGTTATAAACTAAATCATAAAATGCAAGCAGCAATTTTCTTTTGAAAAAGTGACACGCTTTTGCTATTTCTGATTTCTGCTGGAATTGAATTCCAAACAGAAGCCCCATCATACGCAAAGCTTTTCTTCAAAGAGTTAGTACTAGGCATAGGAACATTTAGACAACTTGTAATATTGCGTAGATTGTAATCAGTGATGTTTTTTTTATAGGTAAATAATCTAGTAAGTGAATTTGGTCCAACATTTTTTAATAATTTAAACACCAGCTTTGCTTTAGCTTTTTTTCTAAGTATTTCAAGAGGTTCCCACTTCAATTCTTGTAATGCGTTACAATAATCGACATCAATGCCCATGTTTATGATAATTTTTGCAGCTCTATTTTGAAGTTTTTGTAGACTTTTTGACTGAGTTTCCCCCAATACACCCCAAACTTCACAGCAATATGTGAAGTAAGGATGTACCAGGGCATTATAAATAGAGATAAGTGTTTGTTTGTCTGTGTATTGCTTTAATTTTCTAAGGGCGGAGATACCGGCTGCTACTTTTTTGCAAATTTTATCAGTGTTACTCCTCCAAGATAAGTGTTGGTCAATTATTAAACCCAAACTTTCGTACTCATAAATTCTATTTATAACGTAATTGCCAATTGCAATATGCAAATTAGAAGTAAAAACATTCTTGATCATTTGTTTCGAGCCTATGATCAAATATTCTGTCTTGGTTGAATTCAAACTAAGTTTGTTTGCTATCAACCACTTTTCAAGATTATTCAAGTCAGAGTTTACTGTCTTTTCTAGTTCAACTATATCATTATTTGAAGCAGTTAAGCTAGTATCATCAGCAAACATTTTTGGTTTACATTGCTCTAAGCATGAGGGTAAGTCATTTATATATATTAAGAAAAATAACGGACCTAGAATAGAGCCCTGGGGAACTCCACAGGTGAGGAGTTGTTGGGATGAAATAAAATTTTTGATTTGGCATCTTTGAGTTCGCTTTGACAGATAGGATTCAATTAGGTTGTAGGCTTGTCCTTTAATTCCATACAACTCAAGTTTTCTTAATAAAATTTTGTGGTCAACAGTATCAAAAGCCTTTTTTTTAGATCAATTTGGACTACAAGGTTGAGCAGCCTTTTATCCATGTTTGTGTACCAATCATTCGTACAGTCAATTAAGGCAGTTGTTGTTGAATGTGATTTTCTGAAACCAAATTGACAATCACTTAGGATTTCAGATTTAGAAAAGTAGTTGTAGAGTTGATCGTAAAGTATACGTTCAATGATTTTACTGACGACTGGAAGAATTGAAATTGGTCTATAGTTTCCAGGCAAGTTACGGTGTCCATTTGTAAAGAGGTATAATTCTTGCTGTTTTCCATTCATCTGGGAAGACAGACAAAGTTATGCACTGATTGAAAATATAGGTTAATGTTTCGGAAATGATAGGTGCAGCTAGTTTTAAAATTTTACATGATATTCCATCACAACCCGTTGACTTATTTGCCGAAAGTCCACAAATGAGATGGTACACATTATGGACAGTAGTTGGCCGAAAGGCAGCAAACTCTGATTTAGTTGTATTTATATAATTTTCAAAATTAGTTTTTGTGTTGTCTATTTCTTCAGCAAGTTTTGGGCCAATATTAGAAAAATATGTATTATGTACATACTCATATGCATTTATGTAGTCGATTGCAAAACAAGAGGGATTTGATTCAACAATTGCATATCAGCATGAGACAAACATTATTTTAAATATGCTCTCTTCATTCCTTGTTAAGGATTTTGAGTTTGAGCATATTTATTTTTCATTTTCTGTGCCACATATTTTGAATGCACTTAAAACGTAATGGAAAATATGATTACGTTTTCGTGGCTTTATATCCTCATAAATCTCTCTTTATTATGTTACAAAGATGTAATATTGCTTGGGCAAGTTATAAGGGTCATGTATATCGTTTGAGTCGATACGTGGCAAATTATTTTGTTCCTCGGAATTTAAATCATGTATTCACTAATTGTTATAAAAACAGAGAAACGGTTATAATTTTGGTTTTGGTTTAGGTATTTATTGTATTATTACATACTGCATGCAGCAAGCTTACTATATAGGAGTCTTAGCTTTTTATGGGAATAATTAAACGTATGATATTTTCTCTCGGGTATGTGTATACTCATACAGGCGTAGGAAAAAAAATAATTGGGGGGAGGGGGGGAGAGGAAGCTCATATTCATTTATGTATGTTATAATCTGTAGAAAACAATGAATTTAAAATACGGCATAATATGCTTGTATAACTATTCTCCACAATTATCGATCTTTCTACGCCCATGCATCATGGGGTGATGTTTTTGCATTGACTCAACATTTCTTAAATAATAAACATTACGAAGCGTTTTAAATCCACTTCACCTTACGGCTGACCTATGTGTTACGTTTTTATAGGCAACTCAAAAACAAAATCCAACTGTATCACACAAGAGAAATAAAGTTTTGAAAAAGACATCACCCAGCGTCAAGTAGCATGCAACAGAATTTCACGAAGCTTATGTTGTAAATTGTCATGTCAAATTATGTAGAGAGTGACTGTGTCATATTATAAATTATTAGATATAACTGAAATTATTAAATTCATATAAAATACTATAGTCATGTTAAGAGAACACTTCCTCACAGCAATACGTCATTGCTGTAGGATGTAGGTAGAAACGGAATGGCAAAGTTGCGCGAAATATGTAAACGCCCAGAAACACTTCCTAACAATGATACTTAAATATAGCTTGCAAGCGTTGGTTCAGGGGTTCCTTGAGTTACAAGAAGTCAACTAAACAAAACTTGCTGAGTGCACTAGCAAAGATATTTGATCCGCTAGGATTAATTAGCTGGGTAATAGTTTTGATGAAAATCTTGTTTCAACCGTTGTGCGTAGAAAAGAGTGATTGGAATGACGAGATAAGCGGCAAGCACGCCAGTCTAGAGAATGGATTGAAGATCTAATCCGTGTTAAGACTATTAAGCAAAAGAGATGCATCTATGGCGGTGTGAACGGCAAAATTCAATCTTGTGAACTTCATGGGTTTGGTGATGTAAGCGAGAAAGCGTATTGCACGCTAGTATATTTTGTTTGTTGCACGAGTGTTGCAGTCTTTGTGAAATTGTTAACAGCAAAAACTAGAGTTGCGCAGCTGAAGAAGCTTACTATACCGCGCTTAGAACTAATGTCCACGCTGATGTTAGCAAAGTTAATGGAATCTGTGCGGAAAGATTTAGTAGGCCAAGTAGGGAAAATAGAAGCAAGGTACTGGTTAGATAGTATTACAGCATTATATTGGATTCAGAATCCCGGTGAGTGGAAACAGTTTGTTAGACATAGAGTAAATGAAACCTTAGCTATAACACAGAAGGATAAGTATTGACATTGTCCTGGAATGGAAAATCCGCTGATTGACGGTTGTCCGTAATCTTAACGAGATAGATTTAATTATTCCGTATTAGGAAGAACCAACGCTTGGAACTCTGTAACGTAAAAATCGTGCACAACCACTGCAAATATCATATCAAAGTGTTAAATATAATTGTCAAAATACAGTCCCATCGTTCATGTGAAGTTTGAAAACAGTGAACCATTACTTCGTACAGACTGTGCGAAATGTGTTTCTTTTTGGAGAAAGATTGAGCAAACATGAAATAAGCAATAAAATATACAAGTCACATTTGGAATTATTATAAAAAGAGATGATTCCGTACAAATACATCAATGATAAATGAGAATTCGCCCTGACGAAATCAGTAGACGCATTCAGGCTTAGTCAAATCGAAAACAACTTCCTGTCACAATTTTAGCCAAATTAGCTACCTTTTGCTGTTTTTCTTTGTACACAACATTTTGTCTTTTTTTATTTGGTGTTAGATGATCTTGAGTATATTAATATGGCAATAAGCTTTTAACTTAAATCATTAAATGTCGATTCTATTTTCTTATGCCATGTTTATAATGACACGTGTATTATCGAGAGAATAAGGAAAACTTTCACCAACCTTTGATCCTTGGGGGTATATCTTTTCCTATTTTCAGTTAGAGATATGTAATGTGTGAAATCCTTTACCAAAAATTAGCTTCTTGTATTCTTTACTTTGTAACAGAAAGGATATATGTTTTGATGCAGAGCCAAGTAGTCCAAGCCTAAAATGGACTTGACCTTTCTTTTGTCTAAACCAAACTTTAAGAGTGTGACCACCCATCGTTCGTGCCGTTAATTGAAATGTGATATTGGCTTTGCTGTTGTCACCATCAAAGATGCTATAACCAAAAGGAACTTTGGTGATGTGTCATGAGCTATTTTCAGCTTATTTTCGTGCGGAAGCTTATGTTTTGGTATTACCATTAGGCAACACACAAGAATTATTTTTATTTGGGGCGAAAACTACCCAACACCTATAATAAAGGCTATTATCCTTTCGAAGATTTAACACAAAATAAATAAATATAACACAAAAAAATTGCATTGAAAATGTCATGAAATGTACAGAAATGTTATAACTATCAACAATTCTATTAACATTATTTCAAAGTGCACAACTCCATACAGAAATCATGTAAATATATACTAATACAATACTTCTCGCATGCCCTTCAAAAATAGGCATCATAAAAAATGGGTGTTTTTAAGGAAAATCAAATATTCAACAAACATGTTAGCCGTTGTTGAATTAGTACAAAAAAGTTCTTTGCGTGCAAATACATCAATGATAAACAAGAATTTGCCCTGAGCAGAAAATCGAAGGAAGTATTTCGGCTTTGTCTAATCAAAGAGAACTTCCTCCAAAAATTATGTCTTTAATTACTTTTAGCTAGTTATTTTACCTTACATTTTGTCTGCGGTACCTTTTGGTCTTATATGATCTTTGCTATGTTTGTAATCTATTAACATGAATAATTGAAAATGATTGTATTTTACCTATTCTATGTTTATAATAACACGTGTATTATCAAGAGAATAAGGAACACTTTCACCAAGCGTTATTCTTTTCTAATTTTCTGTTAGAGACTCTAATGCATGATATCCTCTACCAAATATTGGCTTTTTTCTTTTGTTTCTAAAAAAAAGCATAAATGCTTTAATGGAGCATTCGTGACTCAAAGCCAAGAAAGGTCTCGAAGTTATAGTTAAGTTTGACAATTGTGGCCACCTCGTTGTTCATGACCTTAATATTAAATATGAGATTAGCTAAAGAAAATTCCGACTGCTGAATTTGCGAATGATTACAACTATAATCTAGCTATCTTTGATAAATTCGCTGTATGAGACTGTTAAATAAAAACAAAATGTGATCAAAACGTTCAATATTGGGAAAAAACCAGCATAAACTAGTTTTTACTTATATAGCGGCGGAAGTTTATGATTTGATAATAGCTAAGTCATTTCAACTTAACTTAACCGGATTGCAGCAAACAAAATTATTTTGTGTATATCTTTAAAACAAGGAATGAGGAATCCTAGAAGGGAACGAGGAAGGGAACAGGGATGCGAAAACAAGGAATGAAAAAAGCCGAAATCGTTAAAACAAGGAATGAGAAAAGCCGGAATCTTTAAAACAAGGAATGTGTAATTATGCAAAAACCGTGTATAATCAAAACAAATTTGTACGACATCGTACTAATTCCCAATTTTTCACAAGTTTCATGCAAACGGCTAGTTAAGATGCGTTATTTTTAGAAAAGCATACAAAGAAGGGTTTACAAGGCAATTACCAAGGAGTTTCATCGAATTGATTGCGTAAAATTTTCTTTTAAAGCGAGATATGAGTCTGGGCATGTTGCCAACTGGTTTTGGACTTCGAACCAATTGTGTCCTTGTATAAAGTTAACAAAGCGATCGGTATGTACACAGTAAACTAACGTTTCTTTCGATTTATGACTGCCAAATTTGCCTAAACAAATGAATTAATTTCGCTCGCTATTTGGTCATTCGTCATCACTGCATTTTGAAACGTTTCGAGAGGGAAAGCAACCGTTTAAATGGCAATTTTTTTTATTTTTTTTCCTCCTAAAAGTTGAGATTTGTAATGCTGTATTTTCAGTTGATTTCTGCTTGCATTTTTGCATCATCTTAATTTAAATTCCACGGTGTGTCGTAAGTTGTAAACATCCTCACATTGTTAACTATGTATAAATAACTCATGTAAATTTCAGCATATAATGCAACAGAGTTTTTAAAGTTTTGCATTTTTAAATTTCATAAATAAGATAAGTTTTAATATTTCAACATTATCTTTGGGGAATAAAGAGCCTTGCATTTCTCTTGACTTTGACACCATGCAACATTTATTATTAAAATACAGTGATGACGCAATGTTGACAAATGAGAAAATAGTGACCGAAATCAGCTCAAATGTTTGGGCAAACGGGACAGTCATAAATCGAAAGAAACTTACTGAGTACATACCTAACCGCTTTGTTAACTTCATACGAGGACACAATTGGTTTGAAGTTTTAAAATCAGTTGGCAACATGCCCAGACTCATATCTCATGAAGAACTCATGAAGAACTCACAGAATTTCTACATACGCTTCAAAATCTGTTCAGGCAAACAACAATCGTTATTATGAAACGACCATCTTGGCTTAGAGCACTGTAAAAGTAAAATTGAGCGTTGTATACCAATAGCTTATGCGATTTTACTTTCACTAAATGATCCTCATCCTCAAAATGATCCCCTGCCTTACAGCAACGCAAAATGCACAAATACAAACGCCAACGCTTCGATCGCTGGTGGAAAGATTAATTTGTGACATGGATGTCGAATTTGAGAAGGTTACAGCTGCTTTGGAAACATCTTATGTTGAAGACGTTAGAGATGTTATTTCATTTCTTTTTGGAGAAAGATTGAGCAAACATAAATAAGCAATAAAATATACAAGTCGCCTTTAACTATTATAAAAATAGATGATTACGCACAAATACATCAATGATAAATGTGACTTCGCCCTGACGAAATCAGTACAAGCATTCAGGCTTAGTCAAGTCGAAGACAACTTCCTGTCACAATTTTAACCAAGTTAGCTAGCTTTTACTGTGTTTTTTTTTGTACACAACATTTTGCCTTTTTTTATTTGTTGTTAGATGATCTTGAGTATATTAATATGGCAGTAAGCTTTCAACTTAAATAATTGAATGCCGATTCTATTTTATGCCATGTTTATAATGACACGTGTATTATCGAGAGAATAGGAAAACTTTCACCAACCTTGGTCCTTGGGGTATATCTTCCTATTTTCAGTTAGAGATATGTAATGTGTGAAACTTTACCAAAAATTAGCTTCTTGTATTCTTTACTTTGTAACAGAAAGGATATATGTTTTGATGCAGAGCCAAGTAGTCCAAGCCTAAAATGGACTTGACCTTTCTTTTGTCTAAACCAAACTTTAAGAGTGTGACCACCCATCGTTCGTGCCGTTAATTGAAATGTGATATTGGCTTTGTGGTTGTGACCATCAAAGATGCTATAACCAAAAGGAACTTTGGTGATGTGTCATGAGCTATTTTCAGCTTATTTTCGTGCGGAAGCTTATGTTTTGGTATTACCATTAGGCAACACACAAGAATTATTTTATTTGGGGCGAAAACTACCCAACACCTATAATAAAGGCTATTATCCTTCTCGAAGATTTAACACAAAATAAATAAATATAACACAAAAAATTGCATTGAAAATGTCATGAAATGTACAGAAATGTTATAACTATCAACGATTCTATTAACATTATTTCAAAGTGCACAACCATACAGAAATCATGTATATATAATACAATACTTCTCGCATGCCCTTCAAAAATAGGCATCATAAAAATGGGTGTTTTAAGAAAAGCAAACATACAACAAACATGTTAGCTGTTGTTGAATTAGTACAAAAGTTCTTTGCGTGCAAATACATCAATGATAAACTAGAATTTGCCCTGAGCAGGAAATCAGTGGAAGTATTTCAGCTTTGTCTAATCAAAGACAACTTCCTCTAATAATTATGGCTTTAATTACCTTTAGCTAGTTTTTGTACATTACATTTGTCTGCGTTGTCTTTTGGTCTTACATGATCTTTGCTATGCTTGTAATCTATTAACATGAATAATTGAAAATGATTGTATTTTACCTATTCTATGTTCATAATAACACGTGTATTATCTAGAGAATAAGGAACACTTTTACCAAGCGTTATTCTTTTCTTATTTTCAGTTAGAGACTCTAATGCATGATATCTTCTACCAAATATTGGCTTTTTTCTTTTCTTTTTAAAAATCATAAATGCTTTAATGATGCATTCGTGAGTCAAAGCCAAGAAAGATCTCGAAGCTATAGTTAAGTTTGACAATTGTAAGCACCTCGTTGTTCATGACCTTAATTTAAATATGATATTTGCTAAAGAAAAATCCAACTGCTGAATTTGCGAATGATTATAACTATAATCTAGCTATTTTTGATAAATTGGCTGTATGAGACTGTTAAATAAAAAATGTGATCAAACGTTCAATATTGGGAGAAAACCACAATTTATCATAAGCTATTTAACTTATGTTGCTGCGGAAGTTTTATTATTTGATAATAGCTAAGTCCTTTCAACTTTACTTAACCGGTTTGCAACAAACAAAAATTATTTTATAACAATAGAGAAAACTACCATTATACAATCTTAATAGCTACATGTCATATCAAATGATGATCTTTTCAAAAATTTTATTCCCATTTGATCAATGTAAGTAAAATATCCAAACACTAAAAGGTGCTATTAAAAAAGCAAATATACTATAATTATCTATATGCTTTTAGTTGAATGACTGTTTATATTGTACAATCATAAAAAAATATTACATTGAAAGCGTGGAGCTGTGCTGAAATGTAGAAACCATCAACGATTTTATCAACTTTATGTTAAAAAGCACAACTCTACTACAAATAAAATCTGTAAAGAGAATTAATTTGAAACTTGTCATCGCATAGCATTTACAAAAATAGTCATCGAAAAAATGTTTTGTGTTTTGTAAGAGCAAACGTACAACAATATCTTAGCTGCAGTTGAGTTATTATAAACGAAGTTGTTTAATACATACATTTATGATACAAATGAGAAAATGCTCAGACGAAATCAA